TGGCTGCGCCATGCCGGGTAACGTCACGGTCCTTGATTTTAATCTATTCATAAAGGGCTTTTGACTCGCTCTTAGTCTGACCCGTCACCCAGGACCTGTTTGCCTTGGGAGACCCTACCAGGGACATATAGCCCCCGACAACATAGCTCCTAGGATCACTCTGATACTCAAACCCCTCCACCACAATAAGGTGGCGGTTCAAGGAGAAAGGATTCATGTAAATCTAAACAAAAAAGTGTAAAAGCACTTAAATAAATAGTTCATAATGTTCTTCTACTTATATCAGTTTGCCACAATCAGTTGGATCATGCAGATTCAAAATTAAAAAGTATATTTCTTGCTTCAGACCTGCTCACCTCACTAAACGTGCCTCGGCCAATCACCTTTAGAATGTGAAAGTCTTCTCTTTTAATCCGAGTCTTCTTCACCTGCCTCACCAGGGGCTCAGCTATGAAAGGAGAACAGAAGTGAGTTTGTGACTACCAAAAGTATCAGTGTATTTGTGTGCTATATAGCTTATGTCTTTAAGACATCCTTGAAGTTTGACCAACTGATCTGATTCATCTGTGTTCATAGATAAATATAATTGAGTATCATCCGCATAGCAATGAAAATGTATGCTGTTTCCTGATTATACATGCTTCCTTTAGGCAATATTAAGTGAAGAGAATTTGACCTAACAGACCCCTGTGGACCGCCATGACTAACTTCATGTTCAAGTCTCTGCAGTAAAATGCTGTGATCAATGGTGTTAAAAGCAGCACTGATATCTAAAAGGACAAGTATGGAGACAAGTCCTTTATTTGAGGCTAGGAGAAGATCATTGGTGACTTTCACCAGTGCAGTTTCTGTACTATGATGGACTCTAAAACCTGACTGAAAATCCTCAAACAAATCATTCTTGTGCAGGTGGTCACATAACTGCAATGCAACTGCAAAGTTTTTTGGACATGAAGGGGAGATTGGATATTGGTCTATGATTAACCAGAACACCTGGGTCAAGAGTAGGGTTTTTGAGTAGAGGTTTAATTACAGAAACCTTAAAAATCTGTGGAACATAACCTATTAATAGAGAGAAGTTGATCAGATCTAATATTGATGTATTGATTAGGGGTAAAACATCTTTTAGCAGCCTGGTCGGGTTGGAGTCTAAGAGACATGTTGATGATTTAGATGTTGAGGTCAACTCAAAAGAAATCTATGGGAGAGAAACAGTTTAAATATAAATAAGGATTTACAGATGATTCTAAAGCTGTTTTACTGGATGACACATCTGTGAGAGTTGTGGCAATGATCTGATAAATATTTTCTCTGATAGTTGTGATTTTATTTGTAAAGAAGCTCATGAAGTCATCACTACTGAGATCTAAGGGAATATTAAGCTCAACAGCACTGTGGCTCTTTGTCAGCCTGGCTACAGTGCTGAAAAGCAACCTGGGGTTGTTCTTATTTCCCTCAGTCAGTGATGAATAAAATTTGGTTCTGGCACTACAAAGGGCTTTTTTTTATATGTTATTAAACTATCTTTCCAAGCTATGAAAACTGACTTAGTGGAGCGCCACCTTCTTTCCAGTTTTCGTGATGCCTGCTTTAGGGAGCGGAGCTGTGAGCTGTACCATGGGGCCTCCTCTGTTTCACCGCCTTCCTTTTCAGAGGGGCAACAGTATTAAGTGTATTACGCAGGGAGGCTGGAGTACTATCAACAAGATTATCGCAGTTTTAGTTAACATGGCACCCACCGAGGCGAACGTGTTTGCGTGCTCCACTCTTGAATGCCGGTTTAATCTTCGTTTTCTTCCTTTTTGTGTTTTTTACTTTTTCTGCAGTGCACAAATGTCATGCACTGCTTACATACAACAGACAGGCATTGCTAGATATTGCCAACTCACAAAGCCACTGGGAATTTACTGGTTTCATACCAC